CTGCTTGGCCTGTTGTGTTCATCCAGCTCTACACCTTGTTATCAACAAGTGTGAAATTCTGCAAAAGAGGTTAGAGTGATGAGTTGCAGTGGTGAGCTTAAGTGTAATTGTTGGTGTTAATTTAGAAAACAACTGACTGCATGTAATAAAACTATTCTTTCTTATATATTATTTCTAGCCTGCTAAAGTGACAAAGTCTTCCAACAACTTTCCCAACTACTATCAAACCGTACAAACGTTGCGCATTGATTCAGTGACAGTCAACGATACTGGACGTTTCACCTGTTTTGCGAAAAATGGTTTTGGCTTGTCAAATGCTTCAGTGTTTCTGCAGGTTGTAGGTAAAATCCTTGATTACAATTCAGCAAAAGCTCAATGACTGAAATAATATCATCTAAGTTCATATAAAAAGTTTTAAAAAGGTCAATGCAAAGTGGTTTTCTCTTTGTATCAATACAAATTTTATAAAGCATCTTGGGAATGAAATCAGCCAAAGTCTATTCAACAGGTTATTTGTCCAGTTTTGATCCATATTAAATTCTAAGTCACAAACTAACTCTGAGTGACTGATATAAGGTTTTATTTTGTAATAATTCATTCTTATTATGTGAGTGAGTATAGCATGGATATAACTGTGACTGATTAAGTTGAGTCTGCAGCGCAGAAACATGCCATTTGGTCTAACCAGTCTGTGCTAGCACTTATACTCCACAGTAGCTCCTTCCTGCATTTATTAGAAGGCTAGATAGGCACATGCATTTAAGGAAAAGCTGGATAAGCAGATGTACAAATGATTAATACATCAGTGTTAAATTTCTCTTCAGTGAAGCATTAAATCTGTGTTGATAACTTTGATTAACCAATGAAGTGAAAAAAGTTGATATAAGCACATTAAATATTTGTGCAATGATATCACTTACAATGATTTCTTATGAAATTTGGAAGTGACCCACTTCTCCACATTATACTGCATCTGCTGCCTTGCTGCCCCTCATTTACCCCATCTATATCTCTATATAGCCTCTTTGTGAGCTTCTCATGGTTTCCATTGCTGCCTATCTCTGTATCATGAGCAAACTTGGATACATTACTCACTGTCCCTTCATTTTAGACAATGATATAGATTGTAAAGAGGTGAGGCTCCAGTTTAGGCAAAAATAGCATATTAGTAATGTTGCTTGATTAGTAATTCAGAAGTTTGCACTCAAGCTGCAGAAGCCTGAGCTCAAATCCCACCATTGCAGCTGGGGAAATGCAGATTCAATTAATTAATAAAAACAATCTAGAATAAAATGCTAGTCTCATTGACAATGATCATGAAACTACAGGATTGTCATAAAACTCATCTGGTTCACTAATTTGTTCTCCAGAGTGAATGTGTTATTCTAATCCAGTCTGGCCAAAAAGTGACGCTGGATCCCCAGCAAAGTTGTTTAGTCTTAACTGCCCTCTGAAATGGCATAGCAAATCCAGTTGGTTATAGAAACATTGAGTCATACAGCAGGGAAAAAGACCATTTGGCCCAACTTGTCCATGCTGACCCTTATCTCAAACCTGTTAAAAATAGCAACATGAATGTTCTTGGAACACACAGGTTATGGAGATAACTCGCTACCACCTTCTCAAGGTCTGTTATGGTTGGGCAACAAAATACTGGCCTGGCCAATGACAATCACATCCCAAGAACAAATAGAAACAGTTGATCATTGTGGCATTCTATTCATTTCAGCCTGCCAACCAAAAAATAAGTTATTTGTTTCTCCGGAGATAGTAGGAACTGCAGATGCTGGAGAATCTGATATAACAAGGTATAGAGCTGATGAACACAGCAGGCCTGAAACGTCAGCCTTCCTGCTCCTCTGATGCTGCTTGGCCTGCTGTGTTCATCCAGCTCTACACCTTTTTATCTCTATTTGTTTCTCCTGACTGCTTCCTGCCCATTAAACAACCGTCCAGCAATATTCAGATATTACTCACAACCCCATGAGCCTTGGGTATGATCAGTTGTGTGAAACCTTGTTTACCGCCTTCTGGGAATCTGAATATGCTACTCCAACTAGCTACCCTTTATCAACTCTGCTTGGTCATCCTCCAGAATTCTGCAATAAATTTGTCAACACGATTTCCCATTCATAAAATTATGTGAACTCTGACTACATATAATTTTCTAAGTGCATGGCTGAGGCTTGTCTAATGATAGATTCCAGCAATAACTGATATCAGACCAATTTGTCAATAGTTCCTGGTTTCTCTCTTTTTTTTAATAGCATTATTATGTTTGCTAGTTTCCAATCCACTAGTACCATTCTAGAATCTGGGGACTTATGGAAAGTTATTATCAGTGCATTTGCTACCTTTACACAAGAACTTTGAAATCCTAGGACGTAGACCTTCAGGTCTTGGCCTTTTCACTGGACTTAGGTACATGTGACAATAAATAACTAAATAAATAAAACTAAATTAGGTTGCTCTCCATTAATTTGATGGCGCTTGTGACATCCCAATATTTCAGTCCTTAGCAATAATTGTTATTTAATGTAGTATCAGTCCTCTGAACTTCAGAAAATGGGAGTTCATTTCTTAAATTGTGTGTTTTAGAATTCTGTTGCCAGTTTTGTGTCAGTGCTAAGCAAGTTCGGATGTTGCAAATATGCAGACAGGAATAAAAAGCTTAAAAATTCTGCTCCAAGAAATTGTGCAGTGAATTGTTTACTGCAAAGTTCCAACTTGACTCCTGAGCTTCTTTTTGTACTGTCCCAGGACTACTTGTCTCAGTTGGCTTAGAGTGCAGTATAACTCAAAATGTCTAAACTGAATAGAGTCAGAAAGTGAGACAACAAGGTGCAGGGCTGGATGAACACAGCAGGCCAAGCAGCATCATAGGAGCAGAGAGGCTGACGTTTCAGGCCTAGACCCTTCATCAGAAAAAGAAAGTACTTGCATGTTGCTGCACCATCAAAACCTTGTGCTTTTAAAATATTGAATATCATTAATGCAAGAAAACTTGTAACAAACTGCTTTTACAAACATTTTTAAATGTCTTTTTTCTCATTTTTCTTTTGTATGTTTTTAACCAGCTGAAGGATTTATAAAGTTGTTACCTCCAGAGAGCACTGTGCTTCATGTAAACATTGGAAAAAACCTTGTGCTAAAAGTGGAGTTTGATGCCTATCCAGTTCCTGATCAGCAGTACTGGATTCTCATGAATGAGACTTTGCTTAACACATCGGACCATTATATTAAATCTGCGGAAGTTGGAAACAGGTATCAAATGTGATTGCTCATGGGTTAGACTGGTATGCAATGTTTTTATCATGAGTCTCAATAGCTTTCATTAGTTCATCAGTTGCATTGTCATTAGGCTAGTGACAGTCACATTGGGCTGGATTTTCACAGTTGGGTCATGATCTCGATATTGGTCCCCATTCCAGGTTGAGAATCTGGACGTGACCATATTGGGATGTTACAAGCTCCGCCAAATTAATGAACCTAATAAAGATGGAGGCTCAATACGAATGTTACCAGCAATGTCTGGTCAGCAGCCCCAATGTAAGAGGTGGAAGCTGATGAAACAAACAGGAGTCTGTGAGGATACCTTAAAATGTAGGTGTTGAAGGATTATAATAGTTTAAGAAATCCCTCATGGACACAACTGTCAGACCATCATTGTGGAGGTGCTAGCCCTGATAGGATGGCCTGTGGCTGAAGCTTCAGTTGTCCAATGCAGAAGTTATTATGCTGGGACGGTGGAGAGGAAGGGTCAGTGACCACCACATCCCCAACCCAATACTGCCAGCATGAGGCCATCTCAAAGGTATTTGTTGGATTCTGGCCTCAGTAGAAATTGTTACCACCTCTGGGATGATTGAGAACTAGAGGGTACAAATTGAAATTGTTTTGCAAAGTAAGCAAATGCGAGGTAAGTAAGAACTTTCTCGCACAGTGAGTAGTTAGGGTCTGGCATACATTTCAATCAGATGATTATTTAAAGAGAAGCAATGCGCAGGGTTATGGGTAAAAGGCAGGAAATTAGCACTACACCAAAATTCTCAGAGAGCTTGTGCAAACACATTGGGCTGAATGGGCTCCTTCTGCACGGTAACAATTCTCTGAGACAAAGGCAGAATCTCAATGCGAGTGGCATCTCTCCTTCAAATACCTGTATTACAAGACTATTATCTCTGTTTAGCACTGTTTTATAACTTTATCCATGGTGCACTTCTTGGCAAGATGTTATTAATGCTCAATTTTCTGAGCATTAGGGAATCTCAGATAGCAATGTCCTGACTTCTTAAAAGTGCTTAAATGTATATGTGCATTTACCGCAGGTTGTGTTCAATTCACTCTTGATTAATACTGGGCACTGACAACCTCAGTGTTACTTTTACTGCAAAATTTGACCCAATAATTGTATTAATATGATTGAAAGCAAAGTATCTGCCACAATCAATAGAAATGTAATGTAGATTTAACTTTCCAACAGTCAGTATTCTATTACTACCATACATGTCATTCATAGATACTCCAGTGAACTTCATCTGGTTCGAGTAAAGGGAACAGAAGGTGGAATTTATACATTTTTTGCTTCAAATTCTGATTCCAACTCTACGGTTTCATTTGACGTCCACATAAATAGTAAGTTAATAATAATACGTATTATTATTAGTAAGTAATAATAAGCTATTTATTATATGGTATTTGTTTGGACTATATTTTATCTTCTAAATTTTACTCAACAATTCATTTGCATGACATTATTAACATTATTTCACAATCAAACACTGTGTAGCTGAGTGATCATGGAATGATTTCTGTTGTTTAATTAGATAACATCATATGTCACATTGGTATGTGTTTCCAAAAATATTTCTTCTAAGTGTTAAAATCCCTGTAGTCATCAATAACGTTTGAGGAAAAACTTAAATTTCTAGTTTTATTTAATTCACTCATGGGTTGAGGGTGTTGCTAGCCAGGCAGCATTTATTGCCCATCCCTAATTGCCCAGATGGCAGTTAAGATTCAACCACATTGCTGTGGGTCTGGAGTCATATGTAGGCCAGATCAGGTGAGGATGGCAGTTTCCTTCCCTAAACGACATTGCTGAACCTGATGGGTTTTTCCAACTGACAATGGATTCACAGTCATCATTAGATTGTTAATTCCAGATATTTATTGAATTCAAATTCTACCATCTGTTGTGGTGGGATTCAAACCCAGGTCCCCAGAACATTATCTGTGTCTCTAGATTAACAGTAAAGCAATAATACTACTAGGCCATCGCCTCCCCCAACTTCTAGTCACTGAAAGCATACTTTTAGATAATTCCACCAGCATCATTCTCAACATATTACACTTCCCCTTGTGACACAAAATATCTTAAATCTGTTTTCTCATTCTGGACCAACGAATGGCTATTTACACAACCCAAGGGAATATCCTTTGACATAGCACTTTCCTCCTCCAGTGGCCAAAGAATTTTTGGCTTTAATGCTATTAATTGTCCAGATGAAACTTCACGTTGCAATGAACCACAGGCCCCCTTTAGGGTGGTGTGGTGGCTCAGTGATCAGCGCTGCTGCCTCACAGTACCAGGAACGCAGGTTTGATTCTACCCTCAGGCGATTGTGTGCAGTTTGCATGTTCTCACAGTTTGTGTGGGTTTCCTTCCATAGTCTAGAGGCTTGTAGGTTAGGTGGATTAGCCATGGGAAATTCAGGGTTTGGATGGGATGCTATTTGGAGGGTAGGTGTGAACTCAATGGGCCGAATGGCCTGCTTCCACACTGTAGGAATCTATGATTTTCCGTGAAACTGTTCCCTCAAATTGGGTATCCCTTTTCCATTTCAGTGATTAAAAAAAGCCACAAAATAATAAATGAATAATCTTATCACACTGCTCTCGTTAGGGCCCACCTCATCCAACTAGCATCTGCATTCTTCCTTCTGCCTTTGTTTTGTCCGAAGGATTGACTGTCAGATTGCTTCTATATTCCCATTGCACCATGTCATTTACTATTGTTCCTCCGCCTGAATTTATGATCTAGTGTCCATTTCTTCCTTGTTCATTTGATCATTTTCTACACTTCTTTTACATTAATAACTTCTCTGATTTTCTCATACACAACCATAGAATATATGAGCAGACATCCCTCCTCATCCTTCTAAACTCCACTAAGTACAGATGCTCCTCATATGACAAGCCCTTCATCCCCAGGATTTTTCTTGTAAACCTCATCTGGACTCTCTCCAAAGCCAGCACATCCTTTCCTACATACCTGGCCCAAAACTATTTACAATATTCCAAATGCAGTATAACCATAGCCTTATACAGCCTCAGCAGTACATCCCTACTCTTCTATTCTAGCCCAGTCAAAATGAATGCTAATATTTCATTTGCCTTTCCAACTACCAAGCGAACCTGCATGTTAACCTTAAGAGAATCCTGAACGAGAACTCCCAAGTCCCTTTGGGCTTGAGATTTTCGAAATCTTTTCCCATTTAGAAAATAGTCTTCACCTCTATTCTTCCTAGCAAAGAGCATAACTTCACGCTTTCCAGTCCTCTGGGACCCTCCCCAACTCCAGTGATTCCTGAAAGATCGCCAACACTCCTTCCACAATTTTCTCAGCTCTCTCCTTCAGAACATTGGGGTGTAGTCCACTGGGTCATGGTGATTTATTCACCTTCATACCTTTCAGCTTCCCCAGCACCTTCTCCTTAGTGATGGCCACTACTCTTACCTGTGCCCTGACTCTCTTGAAGTTCTGGTATGGTGCTGGTGTCTTTCACTATGAATACGGAACCAAAGTACCTATTCGGTTCCACTGCTATTTCTTTGTTTCCAATAATTACTTATCTAGCCTCATTTTCCAATGGCCCAATGTCCACTCTTAATAAAAACCAAAAGAACTGCAGATGCTGTAAATCAGGAACAAAAACAGAATCTGCTGGAAAAGCTCAGCAGGTCTGGTAGCATCTGTGAAGAAAAAAATCAGAATTAACATTTCGGTTCCAGTGACCCTTCCTCAGAACACTTACTCTTACTTCTCTTTTACCTTTTATATATCTTAAAAAAAAACTCTTGCATTCTTCTTTTATATGGCTAGCTAACAAACCTTCATCTTATCCCTCCTTGTTGATTTTTCAGTTATCCTCTGCTGTTTTTTCAAAAGGCTTCCCAATGGCCCTGACTTCCATTGTCAGCCATGGTTGCCTCATCCTCTCCCTGGTATATTGTACATCATGATAGTGATATAAGGAGCAGTATTGACTCTAATTGATGCTCACTATCCATCGGTAATATTATTTATTCTGCTATGTTTCAGGCAAACCAGAGATAATTATTATTGAAGAATCCAAGCCAGGTAAAGTTCGATGTGTAGCTGTAGGGTTTCCAGAACCAAAAATAAAGTGGCTTCACTGCCATGGATCACAGAAAAGGTAAGGGATGTGGGCTGTAATTTGTCTCATTTAAGCGATTGAAAGGAATGTTAGTATTTCTTGCATTTCTATTTGGAACAATAAACTTGCAATAAAGTTATATTTGTAACGTCCACTGTTTTGATGATGTTGTTATATGGCTATTCTAGGCGGCTTAAGTTGTATCTTATATATCTGTATTGATAATTATTTATACATGAGTTGAAAACTGCATTGCCCATTCTCCTATTCACTTGAAACTGGGGACTGTAGTGGAACAATTTACACAAGGGTAAATCTACTTAGTTCAAAAAGATGATAATTAAGGTTTGTAATTGGATTTTGGTTCGAGATATTGCAGTCTGAATGAGTCAATGTTTCCGTAATTCTATTTGTTATGTCTATTCTGCCTTCATTCACTGTTATGGTACATCTTTAAGTGGGAATGCTTATGTTTTCTGTACACTTTTATAGAGGGGAATTGACATAATGTCTTATGCCTTGTTGGTTCTGTGGAAGTTACCAACTTAAACATTACACATGTTCTCCAACTGGTACTGCTACCAACTTCTCAAATCTTCAATTAATGAATCTACATAGTTTTGTGTTGCCAAATCTTTTATGTTTGATTGGTGCTTTGATGTTTATTTAAGTGGGCATAAGGAGAAGAGAAACATAATAAGAAGCCAGTGATGAAGAACTTTCCATTTACAAATGCACCAAACACAATGCGGAGCTCGGGCTAACTGAAGGAACTGGTAAATGGGAGAATGGGAAATTTAAAATTGCCATTAATGCTCTAATTAGAGACCAGAGAGCACAGTCTGTTAGTTCTACAGGCAGTGACAGGGTATCGAAGGGATCATCACTCAGCAGTGCTCAGTTGGAAAAAATGAGTAATTGCAACCCAAGATGGAATGATTGAGGACAAAGGAGAACTGAAAAATAGCTTGGAAATTGGACATGTTGCATTTACAGTGTTTGTAGGATTAAAATCCTGAAGAGGAAGCCACCACAAACATTCATTTCAATGCCAGTGAAGAAGAAGCATTTACGGAATATTGCAAAAGTACCCACAAAATTCCCAAGCTTCAATTACAAAGCATTTGACCTCCTATCTGAGATTAAACAGTGTACAGTGGGATGTCAACTCGGACATGGCTGAGCCAAACAAGCAGGCTATAAAGATCCATTTACCCATTAGAAATGAATACCTATGGAGGCTGAACACATCCATACTCATCAAAGAAGACCAAAATGATCCCAGAAAGATGTGGGCAAGTTTAGAAAAGCAATTCAGAGTGACGTTGAATTTCCATATTGACCAGTTTATGTTTAACTGCCAACAGACCAGGGAATTCATTGATCATTTTATTAGTAAATGCAGAGAAAAAAAGGTGATTACTGCAATTTTTCAGAAATGGAACTGTTAGAGAGAGTTGCAAAATTGGTGATTGCATCTACTCCAATAGACACATTTCAAAAAAGATCTGTTTGACAAACTCAAAAATTGAAGCCCTGATGAGTTCCTTAAAGATGGACAAAAGTATGAGGTGATTAGAATGGCTCAGTAAGTCCATGTGCAGGATCCATCATGTTACAGTGTAAATACAAACCAGTTGTTTTATGAAAACGAAACCAGTGAATATGAATCAGCTGTAATGATGAGATCTTAAGATGGTAACCATCCATGACATTAGTCAAATACCACAAGGCAGATTTGTATCAGAAGAAAGAACCACCCATACTTCAGTTAGTTATCAGAAGTTGCAACATTCCAACTATTTTGGTATAGAATTGGCTGTCATGTGCATTTCCAGCAACTGTGAGCACACCAACCAAATATTGGGAAACATTTGCAAGACGCAGACTTCTGTGTGTACCAAAGAGTTGTCCAACATTTCAAGCTTTCTGCTAATCATGTGGTTAAAAGGTCACCAACAGTAGCAGCGCAGAAGGTTGAAGAAACTATGAGAAGTCATGCAAAGTCTCAAGAAGACTATAAACAGATCATACCTTTGAGTAACAACACTGACCATACCAATTTCCATTGGAAAAACATGCCCGCCAAAATTGGTCAACAAAGGAACAAGTCAATTAAGATTGAGATGTACTGAGATGCGATAAACTTACATTCTACACTGTTGATGTCGCAGAAAACACAGATGCTATTAAACAATCAGAAATATTTGCCATAGTTCAGATTATTTGTTGTCAGAATGTCAGGGAACATTTGCTATTGGCAAAAATAGAGACAGGAAGAAGTCCCAGAGGAGAATTCTCCAAGTAGTGTAACTGCAAAAATACAAGACCACAGCAAAACAAGCCATCGTGAAGCTTTCTCCATATAAAAGCTCAGAATACTTTTGTGTGCGATATCCATCATGTTACAATGTAAATGAAACCAGCTGTCCTGGTCTCAAAGATGTTTAATGACGTAGAAATCAATGATTGTAGATTAACTGTCATGATGAAATCTCACTATGGTAACCACCTGTGATTCAGGTAAAATCTTTAATTCAAAAGACAGATCAAACAAGTTCTATATGTTTCAACAATGGACCTAAGGAAAATATTTCTAAGTGAAACCATTCTGTCATGTGATGAACTCATGTTCAGCAGATCAGTTGAAATAAATCTAGCTTGGTTTTATTAATCTTCCAAGAGCTGAAGAAAAATAAAAAATTACAGGGGAAGGCAAATGATGTACATATTACATGAATATTGGTGAAGCTTTACCACATTTAAACTTAGAAGAAGAGGTTCAAATCCAGCATCTCACAGAAGGTATGTGATAACCAGCAAATGTGACAAAGATCTATCTGGTGCTGGGGTATAACAAGATTTTTTTCAGCCAATGCTCTTTGTAAGAAGGAATGAGGTCAAATCAAAGAAGTGCCAAATTTTCCACCATTGTGTAAATTAATTGTACCCAGGAAAAATCCAAAGCAACATCTAAGTGTGACACTCCCATAAACCACTGTAAGAAAATTCAACAGTTTCAAGTAAACATTTCAGTTACTACATCGGGGTGCAAAAGAGACCATTATCTCCAGCACCATTGACGACAGAGCCGTCAACCAGGTCTGAACCATCTCCTGCACTTCTGCCCTCACTCCTTCTCTTCCCTCCCGCAACAGCAATAGTTTCCCTTGTTCTTACCTATCTCCCACCAGCATCCACATCCAGAAGACCATCAGACGCCATTTCCGTCACCTCCAGTGAGATGCCACCACCAGACACATTCCCCTCACCTCCTTTGTCCACTTTCCGCAGCGACCGTTCCCTCCAGGACACCATGGTCTACTCTTCCTTCACCCCCAACACCCCCCCACAGCCCCATGGCACCTTCCCCTGCAACCAGCAAAGGAGTAACACCTGCCCATTTACCTCCTCTGTCCCTAGTATCTGAGGGTCGAGGCATACCTTCCCCCCCGAGCCCACACACCAGGCCTTGTTATCACACAGCCTGCCATTACACACTGCCTATGGTTAGTCACTAACAGTCCCCATTTACAGTTATTCACCCTTCTAGCTAGATCATTATTAACTCCTTTGTCTATGCAACTGCTCTTCTCTCTCTTTGGGCTCTATCCTTTATCCTATTATTTAGTCCCTATCCCATTCCTGTCCTTATTTTCTGCAAATAAACCGACGTTTTCCCAGCTACCATCAGTTCTGATGAAGGGTCACCGGACCCGAAATGTTAACTCTGATTTCTCTTCACAGATGCTGCCAGACCTGCTGAGCTATACCTTCTGTTTTTGTTAAGACTACCAGTATACTCCAGGGACTTGTACATTTTTGAGTTTCTTAGCTTGTAATTTTTTTTTTACTAAGTATTGAATGAGTTATGATTAAGTATTTCCGTGCATTGCAAATAATTATGGTTTAAAGTTTTTGAGAAGGTTTGAAGCTCAGGTTGTGGATGAGGGTGTAGACTTGCTCGAAACGTCTGCAACTGAACACACTGGCTCAGCGAGCAAGTCTACAACCTCAATAAGAGATAACAAGGTGTAGAGCTGGATGAACACAGCAGGCCAAGCAGCATCATAGGAGCAGCAAGGCTGACGTTTCGGGCC